GTTATTTTTAACGTTTGACTTAAACTCTTACCTAAATGAATTTAGAAAAAATATACCGTTTTAAGAAAGTTTTAGATAGATATTTGCTATCATCCAGAACAAAACGTTTTATCAGAAATTAAATTATAATAAGTTTATATGACGTTTTAAAAATATGCAAAAACAATCATTTCTGACACCTCTCGGCTTAGTACGCCAATATATTTCACCAAAACCATACTGCAGTCATTAAATTATCATATAGGGAAATTTTCATCTTTCTAAACATCACAGGGAAAGATTTTACAGGTTCTTTGATATTAGAATTCTCTCTGAAAGATAAACATGAGAGTACACTAGTTCACAATGTTTAGAAACTCACCCCTAGTCGGTCATTCGGAATAAGCTTTCCCAACTTTTTACTCAGCTCCTGCAGCTTTTCATTCTCTTCTCCTTCCATCCCCACCAACCTTCTCTCCTTCTTCACACTCTCCTCCTTCCTCCTTCTCCTTGTATTTGTCTCCATCCCTCCTGTCTAGAAATTTGTACACTGAAACCGCTACCTGCCGAACCTGCCCAACAGAGATGAAAGTTCTCTCTTTTCCCTAGATCTCTCTAGCTTCCTCACTCACTATAGTTCAGCACTGTTTGTCTGATACGGAACTGTAGTGTGTGTTTGTTAAGATGAAGTAAACTCACACCGCTCTGCCAACTGTTTATAACGTAGTCCCTGTTTTCAAATATTTAAATTAATACAGGGAGGTGTATAAACCAGTACAACTAGGGCTAAACGTAGATGTAGTATAAGTTGTAGAAGGAAGGTTGGTTGAAGACTGTCAGGTTGCTCCAGGATCAACAGTTACACGTAAACTTCTTGGTTCACATGACTTGCAATTACTTCAAGTGGGGCGACTACCTCTCTTTCAGAGAAATTTCTTGAATTTCCATAGATTTATTAAACATGCAATATTCTAGGATAAAAATACTATAGTCTTTAACAATTTATCTACAATCCTCATGCCATTACTACAGGGCATGTAACCATAATTTAAAGCGACCCTCCATGCAAAGACATGGCAATGCCCGATTTTCAACGGTACCCTTAAAAGCTTTTTTGATCAAGTATATGCATTACACATATATCAATGTTTATAATTTTTAAAACTGACTTTTTTCAATTGTTATTTCTCTAAAAAAAGTCACTAGCGCATTTCTACTGCAGAAAAAGATACTGTGGGGTATTGTGGGGTATTGTGGGGTATTGCAGGGTACTGCTGGATACTGCTGGGAACTACTGGGTACTGGGGGGTACTGGGTGATACTGGGGTGCACTTGGGAGTACTAGGGGTACTGGGGGTACTGACAGGTATTGCGGGGGTACTGCAGAGTACTAAAGGTACTAGGGAGTAATAGAGGATAATGGGGGATACTGTGAAGTACTGTGGGATACTGTAGGGTATTGCTGTGTATTACTGGTTGTTGCGGGGTTCGGGGGGGTGGGTGTACTAAGGATAATTGGGGTAATAAGGGGTGAAGGGGTTACTATGGAGTACTGCAGTGTACTGGGAGATACTGCAGGGTACATGGTACTGCAGTACCCTGTAACCTGCAATACCATGTAACTTGCAGTACCCTGTAACTTGCAGTACCCTGCAACTTGCAGTACCTTGTAACCTGCAATACCCCTTACCCTGCCGTATCATGTAAACTTCTGTTTGAATAGTTATAATTTATAATCTATAAATAAATTGTTTTCTTAAATATTTGTTATTAATTTATATTCTCTAAATCAATAATTTTTTTTAAAGTGGCTCATAAAAAAATTGGTTTCCCTACCTCGCATAGTTCAACTGTAATGCTTACCACACCTCGCAGGAATAATCAGGAAAATCATTTATTAAATATTGTCTAAATATTTCTGATATTCTGTCAGTCTAGTGTTTGTTCTGTCTCAATGATNATTACTTCAAGTGGGGCGACTACCTCTCTTTCAGAGAAATTTCTTGAATTTCCATAGATTTATTAAACATGCAATATTCTAGGATAAAAATACTATAGTCTTTAACAATTTATCTACAATCCTCATGCCATTACTACAGGGCATGTAACCATAATTTAAAGCGACCCTCCATGCAAAGACATGGCAATGCCCGATTTTCAACGGTACCCTTAAAAGCTTTTTTGATCAAGTATATGCATTACACATATATCAATGTTTATAATTTTTAAAACTGACTTTTTTCAATTGTTATTTCTCTAAAAAAAGTCACTAGCGCATTTCTACTGCAGAAAAAAAGAATTGTCCGAAATAATCACTTTTAAATCTAGAAAAACAACTTTATCTTCCACATAGTTGTGGCAATACAGATTGCATGTACATTGAACATTGTAATTATGGAGGGTTACCAAACAAAAATAAGACGATTTTATTGATTTTCTTTATTATTCAAACCTTTAACATTAAATTCATGTTATTAGAAATACAGGTCGTCCTATTCTGTGGCCGGGTAACCCTTATATACACAGATATAGAAAATTAGGTTCTGAATATTATACAAAATATGTGTGTGTGTGTAAACAATAAAAACATTGGAATAGAGGGACAATATTCACTCTTCTCTAAAGGGACTGTAAGCGTAATTTCAAGTGACCCTTCATGCAAAGATGGCAGTGCCCGATTTACAACAGTACTCTTAAAACCTTATTATCTTATCCAAGGTGTGGGAGATATCGCCGTTTTTCTGTTTATTTTTACGCTTAAAGTCCCTTAATATAGAATATTATAGGCCGATATTATAGGCCGGACATTGTATAATTTAATTGGCACTGTAAGGTGTAATCCAACCATTGAATGATTGAAAGTATTGCTGACAGCAAAAAGGTTGTTCGCAGGTTCGTCCTGCCAAAAAGCTGAGCTCTCAAGGACCTGGTTAGACCAGGAAAAGCTTTAGGAGTGTTTAAATTCCTTCTTTCAATAAAATATGATTTTATCTATCCATGTACACGTTCTCCACTACACGCTATATATTCGGTCAGTATACTGCAAATTAATGCAGAACGCACCTAAAGCTTAGTAGAGGGTGAATAATTGTCTCCAGCAGCCTTTCTCCTTGTTGAAGGAGAGGCTAAGGAGCTGGTTCTGAATATGCCTGAAAGTGGTGGGATCATGTGTCCTCCTAATATTTGGTCGGTAAGCTCCAGTCCTGAACGTAAAAACTGATATTTTGAATATCTTTAAACAGATTTGTAAATTTTTTTTTCACACGAAGGCCGTGAATATTTTTTAAATATTTAAAGTTACTGTTATGATGTCGACAAAAATGTGTTTTCTTTGATTTTTTTCTCTCTCAACATACTTTTTTAAAGCAAAGTCGGACCACGTTTTATTTCCGTCCATTTTAGAAGTAATTTTGCCATCTGCATCTTCAAATTGTTACTGATTCCGACCTCTTCTCTTTAATTCCTGATTTCCGTCCTGTTTTCTTAATCACCGACTTTTCTCTACTTTCCCTTCATCCATGATATCTACCTTTTTACTTAATCTTCATCCTCTTTTCTTTAATTTCTCATTTCATTCCTGTTCTTGATTTATTTTATCTCTATTTTATCTTCATCCATGAGTTCTATCTTTTTACTTAATCTTCATCCTCTTTTCTTTAATTTCTGATTTCTTTCCTGCAATTGCAAAATATATACTGACATTTCATAATTGAAGGGGAGAACAAAGACGACTCATGTTTAAAAGTTTTTTGGTTACTTCTGTTAGCAGGGCCGTAATAAAGGGGGGGGGGTCAATTTCTCATCAAACCTAAAAACAATGGTATTTAAATTAGAAAAACAATTTAGAAAACAGTATATTTTGTCCAGGTTCAATATGACCAACGAGGTTATGATACATAGTTTGATGATGTACGCTAATCCTTTACTAATTGTACAGGCTATGTACTCCCCTTTCAAAGTTCAATCTGTATATTACAATACTCGGGGGTGAATATGACCGAACCGTACATAAAATTCGATGTCTCCAAGACAATAGTAATAGTAAGTAAGTAATTATTTATTTATGAAATATAACGTACAAAATTAAGTGATTCAGGAGAAAATATTTTTAAAAAACCTCTAAAAATAGAGGTTTTGGGAATATTTCCCCCCAATTCTAAAAAAAATATTTAAAAAATAGAAATCAAAGGAAAAGGAAAGGAAAATTACATATTTATTGTTTACATTATATTTAATATAAACTGGTGGTGAATTGTTTGTATTTTTTGACGATGAACTAACATCTTTTAGAAATAAAAATGATTTGTAATGTTAAAATAATTTAAAATAAGCTTTATGGGTTGTGAAAAAGATAAAGGTTCTACGCAATACGGGCATTTTTAAGCATCTTTTTAATTCGCGCCGATTTTTAACATATATCCTTTATGTTTGATTATATCTTTTACTCTTTTTAATCTGTTTAGTCTTTTCAGTCTTTTCTTTGTAAAATCGTCTTTGCTTTCTTCGATTCTTTTGCAAACATAGCATGTGAAAGAATTAAAACATTTGTTCTGCTGATAAAAAATCTTCAATTAAATTCTGTTAAAAATTCGAAATAAGATTGATATTAGAAAGCTTAGAAAAGTGTCGTTTATTTTTATACAATAATTTAGGGAAATTGTGAGGGGGGAGCAGTCCAATTTTAATAGATTTTATTCTTATAGGAATATGAAAATCATTTCTGTTTTTTATTGAGATTTGCGTTTTTGATATTTTTTGATAATATAAAAGGTTTTTTAAATGTTGGGGGTAATTGGTCTCCTTTAAATTGAAATAAGATTTTTTAACATGCAAAATTCCAAATTTTCTGCAGGGGAGTATGTTCAAAGCCCAAAAAACTTCCGATGTGCAGACTTCTTCTAGGTAACCCCATTAACAGACGAATAGCTTCCTTTTGTAATGATTCTATCTTATCAATATTTTTGTTTGAAGTTAGCATTAAAAATTTTGAACTAAATTCTAAATGAGAGTGGAAAAAGGGGTAATAAAGCAATTTCATGGTTTCAAAGCCTAAGAAGTTTTTCAAATTTTTTTCACAGCATAAAGTGAAAAAGTTAATCGCCTGTATACCTTTTTAAAATAGTCATTAAAGTTCAATTTAGTTGGTTAATAAACAATAATCATAAAATGTCAGGTCCAACATCTTCAGCTGGTAATTGCAGAAAAATATATACTTTAGACAAAAAGATGTTCATCAAGGAGTAAAGTCTATTGTTGTCTGAGACCATATCTTCATCAATTAATTTAGTAAGTTCATCTCGAGATTGATATTTGGATAGGAGGACATCATTGATTGATTGATTGCCTAAACTTTTAACATCCAATATATCCTTGTCATGTTCACACCACAATTCTTATTAAACCTTCTAGTCATACATTCTTCCTCATAAAATATGCTATCTAAAGTCAAAGATGATTTTAACGTCGTTTCACAGTTTCATGTGGCTGCACACTGTATTTCGTCCTACACCCATCTAACAAACTCGGTGTTATACTGTAATTGTTAAAAGTATATGCAAAAAAAAATAAGAACATTTGAGTAATTTGCTACTTGTAATTTCGTTATTTTATGTTTTATATTTTGTACACAATTATATGAACAAGGTCGACATGAATGATTTAATTTGCAAGCATTCATTTATCTTCTGAACTTAATATTGTTATTAATTATTATTATTATTATTATT